GGAAACTGGGCAGAACTTCTGCTTTGAACCAACTGCTCTATACTGTAGAAGAGCAGCATCACCTTTATACACAGGAGCCTACCTAAGCACTGGCTCTACAGAGCCAACCTGGAAATAGTTCTCTTCTGGCTCAATACCTAAAGTAACCAACTGCTTGAGAGGGAAGATTTACAAATTGAAACCAAATTACCAATACACAATTTCTTGTCTGAATATATTTGGATACTCAGTCCCCAAACAGGAGACAATCCTATTTCTCTCAGTTAAAAGCAAGACACTCTAACTTAGTGATGGATCAAGTCCCTCTGGTTCTCAGGACAGGCAGTGTACTGTTGTGTGAGCCTCCTGCACACCAGGAGTCATTGCAGGGGCTGCTCATGCCCAATACTTGTTGGAAATATCAGACTATCACACTATGCAGTGGAACAGGGGCGAATTGGAGGCTCAGGGCACTAGAGGAAAAGCAAAGAATGCTGGATAACATATGCTGCAGTCACACACATTTGGGTGCTCCAGGTCACCCCCTGCAAGGGAGGTTTTTCTGCAGTGTGCAGCATCCCTCCTTCAGCACAGGACTTGGGCACATCTCCAGCAAGGGACGAGGAGAGCAAGTGAACTGTTGACATCCCTAGGGCAATTCCTAAAACCTAAAGGTCACTCCTGGTACCTGCCAGGGCCCCCAAAAGAAAGGCAGGGCTGCTGGGAACCAGCTAGACAACACACCCCACAGCCAAGGTCTCACCACAGCTCAGACAGGCCTAGCAGTCACTTCAAACCGAACCAAAGCCCCTCAGAAGTGACCTGTCTTGCCCCTGTTTCATCATGCTTTGCCTTCAGGCTTCAGCCAGAAAGAGGAAAGCAATCTACTGTGCCAGTGGCCAACTTACACACTCTGAAGAGTCAGTTAATTCCTGAAGTCTGATACCAAGACAGAATTGCAAAAACTTTGGGATGAATTATTTTCAGTATCAAGTCTGCAAGCGAGAGGAACAGGGCTAGGGGGTGGAAATTGGTTTTACAGACCTGTTTCTGGCTTGGATTTCCCAGCAGCAACTTGCTTTAATTGGAACTGTGTAGATCTCTCAGTTGAGGAAGTTGGCATTGAGTTAATGAAAAAATCTGCTACTGCCAACAAAAACTCCATACTAGCACATATGTACAGCTTGTCAAGGACAGCAACAACTTCAGTTCCATTTTTATTCTGCTTATAGCTTATATCTATCATAGAACTGTCATTTGTGTCATCTTTCTTGTCTACCATTCTGGAAAACAAATTTAACAAGAAACATTTCAGACACCATAACACACAGATCTCGAAAAACAAGGTTGCATAAGCAGTGCCATTTTTTATTCCCAAGCCATTTATAGGTAAGAACTACAACACAAGCAATGCATGTTTCTTCCAGAAGGAACAGACGTCTCTAACACAAGAAAAACTGAAGTTTAAAATTAATGCATGACACTTCTGGAAGTTTGTATGTGCTACAACAGGCCACAGCAGAGAGCCCAACTGAGTTTCATCCATCCCATGTGAAGCAAAGAACAGAACAAGGACACAAAACCTCCTCATAAGCTGAATGGAGTTTCTTCATTTCTGGTGCTTTCAAACCTACCTTGCAGTCACATTCTGAATTCCTTCCCTGAGGTCATCCAAGGTACATGCCTTGAGTTTCACACTGATATCCATGGAGCCATCTGAAAACATCTCCCCCGAGGATGCCATGAGATGCAGTCGGAGCTCCCCAAGGCGGAACCTGTCACTATGCAGCGAAGGCAGAGACTTCTAGAAAGGAGAAAGGGCAGGGCTAGTTACCACAGAGCAGAGTAGTGAGCACATGGCCCTGGCTGCACTTTGATCCATGAATCCAAGGGTCTGACTAGCCTGAGGCTGCCACGAGTACTCCAACCCTACAAATTCCCATCTTTATTTTGGATAACTGGAATCAAGTGACCAAATCAAATGGTGGGTGGTTTTGGGTGGTTGGTTTAGTAATATTTTTTAGTGTGATTTTTAGAAATGCACTTACATTCTTCAATTAAGGACACTGCACAATAAACCTCAAGTTCCATACAAACTGCATAAGCTCCCTAAGGCCTTGCAAAGACAACACAACTGATGAAACTTGGCTTTACTATCCCGAGTTCTGCCCATGGGAGAAGCCCAAGTCGCCCACCCCACCGATACGGTAAGAGCTTTGTCACAAACCTGATTTCTATCAGTATTGTAGAGAGTTACAGACAGTGATTCAAAATTGAAGTCAAATTTAAGTGCTGTATAACATTCCGCACAAGACTGAGCTGCAGAAACACTTTTGTCACCTGCCAGTGAAAAGAAAGTATTGACTCAGTATCACTTTGTTCTACACAATACAAGCTAACATTACTCAGCACAGAGTGGGTTAGGAACCTTAAAACCAGCTGTCATTAGTTTACTGCAGTTTGGGACAAAACCAGATTGTGGCAAAGTGTCAACAGCATTTCATGCCGAGACATGCAGAGCTTCCATTAACACACTGTTTGAATACTAACACTATCCTCAACTGCTGTCATTGTGCATAACATTCTGCAGGAGATGATTTGCCTTTTCCTTTATTACCCACCTGCACCTCAGAACAGTCAGTGACACACACTGAACAGTACCAGCCCATAACAAGGCACAAAACACACACCACAAAACTTGTGGCCATGAGGAGCTCCACCCACCCCATATATTCTTATGGATACATATGCACTGAGTACATGAAAAGTTAACAGTTATTCTTATGGATACATATGCACTGAGTACATGAAAAGCTAACAATTAAAAAGAATTTCTACACACACATTTAAGTGCTTCAGAGAAATATGATGTTTGAGTGTGCAAATAGCCCTTTGCCTAAACATATTCAGCCTTGGAACTGAACATACCCTCAGAGTCACCAGACTGACTTGGAGCTTTCATTTTCTTAAATATCTGTGTATTCTCAATACATATGCACTGAGTACATGAAAAGCTAACAATTAAAAAGAATTTCTACACACACATTTAAGTGCTTCAGAGAAATATGATGTTTGAGTGTGCAAATAGCCCTTTGCCTAAACATATTCAGCCTTGGAACTGAACATACCCTCAGAGTCACCAGACTGACTTGGAGCTTTCATTTTCTTAAATATCTGTGTATTCTCAATGTTCTCTTGCACAGGACTTGGCTGGGAAGAAGCTCCTCCAAGGTTTTCAAGCAAAATTTTCATTATAACAGTTAGATCATCTTCACTGAGTGCGACCTGCAAAGTGATAAACCCACAGCTTCATTTTTGGTGACAGTATTTCCTTCACAGGATGCAAACGTTGGGCAGAAGTGACATGCTGCTCCCACCAGGAACAAGCTGTCTAGTCAAAGGGATCTTGTCCAAAACTCTCTAAATAATTTCCCCATTCTTCCTAAAATATCCTTTGTTACTTGTTATGAACAGGAGTCAACAACAAGAAACAACACTCCACATGATCAACACTTTCTACTCTTGAACAGGATCTTCACCTGCCTAAACTATGAAAAAC